ATATATATATATCGGGTCGTTACAAATTTCGGAGATAAGCCTATGTTCGAAATCACCATAAGAAGCTATTGGGGCCATCAAAGTTCCACTCCGGGGTCGTTTGCACAAAAGTCAAACTCCGGTCAACTTCTTTCATTTAAGCTTCTAAAACAAGAATATATTGTTCTTTCAATTAAGTCTCGAATCATTCGAAAACCCAACTCGATCGTGCGCAAGTCATAATACACATTACGAAGCTTCTCGAGGTCTTAAGCCACTGAACAGGACGCTTATTCTTAAAACGACAAGTCTAGTCGTTACAATAGTCCCTAACCTCCTTCTATACTAGTGTTAGAACTTGTGATAATTTGATAGAATGTTAATCTTATAAAATTATGATTTAATATATTATTATTTTTTTAATAAATCTTGGTCGCTATTTTATTGTTTAATATAGTATGCAGAAATATAATAAAATCTATACAAATTCAAAGGATACACATCATATAGTAATCAAATAAATTATTTGTTCCTCATTTATTCTTTATTAAATTAGCAAGTACTTAGTACAATATATTTACTAATGTGACTTTTTTATTAACTTGTCAATTGGCTTAATATTTTGATATTACTTCTCTTTTAATGTAACATAAATATATATCTTCTTAATCTAAAAATATTTTTATTTTTTTAAACTAATATTATACTGCTCAAAATTCTTCAATGGTCTAAATTTATCAATAACTTTTTGAGTGTTATTTATTTATATTTTATTTTTAATTAATTCAAAATATAAATGTCCTAAAATTAACTTTATCCCCATCTTTTCGTACTTTCTTTTTTACTGTAATATTTGATTAGTTTTCTCATTTGTAGTTTACTGAAAATTTAAATAATATAATATTTTTTACCAAAATTCTAATTTAGGTGGTGGTCAAGGAAGAGAACGAGGTCGACCACAGAAGAATCCGATTATCAATTTTGGAAGTACAACTGAAAATAACGCAGATTCAAAAGAAGATGAGGAAGATGCGATAATATCCCCATATGCACAAAGGGGATCTTCGGATAGGAATCAAGGAGAAGCTTCAGCTGAGCACATGCAAGTCCAAATGAGCTCAGCAGTAACAATGAAGGAAGTAAATCTAGAAATGGAAGTAGCAAAGGAAATTGAGGTCACTTCAAAGGCACAAGTCAATGAAACAGTAACACCAGTTGAGGTGAGAAAGGAGAAACCAAAGGCGGAGGAGAAATCAACGTGGGTAAACCTATTTGCTAAGAATAGAGCAGCAAAAAATGGTATGGCACTAACCTATATTCCACCACAAGTTGTTAATGGTCAAATTATTGTTCAATTGGATAGGGAAGAAGTTGACAGAGAAACTGAAAAGTGGAAAGGGGCGTTAATTGCCTATGTACTTGGGGATTTGTCGGGATATAATGTAAGGAGGAGGTATATAGAGGTTAATTGGAATTCTATCCCAGAACCAGATCTGTATATGCATGAGGATGAATATTATATCATCAAGTTTAGGACGAAAGAAGACATGCAGGAGATTTTATAGTCTGGACCATATACAATCAATAATAGACCTATTATCCTTAAGTAATGGGCAGCTGATTTTGATTTCGAGAAGGAATTCCTTACAGAAATTCCTTTATGGATCAGATTTCCTAAACTTCCATTGAATTGTTGGGGGGTTAATTCATTAAGTAGGATTGCTAGTTCAATTGGAACTCCTATGTACGCCGATGAGTGTACTGCTAAACAATTAAGAGTATCCCATGCAAGGATGCTGATTGAAGTTGATGTGACCAAACCTCTACAGGATGAAATAACTGTAGAGGATCCAAACAGTAGAACCTTCTTGCAGCCAATTCTCTATAATTGGAAGCTAAAGTTTTGTGATACATGCCAAGTCATTGAACATAAATGCCAACAAGAAGGAAGAAGACAAGGGCAGTAGTATGGAGTAGCTATGAATGAGAAAAGAAGACCCAAAAAGATAGTACAACAATGGGTAACTGAGGAGAAAGGCAAGACAAAGCAGCAAATAGATGAAGAAGTTATGCCAGTACAAGACCAAGCCACTCATCATCAGGAGAACACAAGGGTCATGGAAGCAGGACAAGGATCAGGAGTGGTAAAGAGTAATATGCAAGTACAACCAAAAGACAAAACACCAAGTGCTATGAGCAAAATTAAAGAAGTAGAGAGAACAAGCCCAGAATTGAATGATATCAACTTTCCAGTGCTTGGTTCAGTTCCATTGAGGAATGGTTTTCAAATACTGAGTACAGAGGTAAATGGTGCTCAGACTGAACCTCCTGACATAGGAGGTAAAACAAAGAGATCAATATGAATTGGCTAGTGTGGAACATAAGGGGATTGAATAAAAGATATAAGCAGAAGGAAGTGAAGAAAATTTTGAAAAAAAAATAAAATAGGAATAACTGCTATTGTTGAAACAAGAGTCAAGGAGAGTAAGGCTGAACTTATTAGTAAAAACATAGCTCCAGGATGGAACATTTTGTATAACTATTCAGCTGCTAGTAATGGGAGAATATGGGTAATATGGGATACCAACATCTATCAGATAGCAAAGCTAGAAGAAACTGCCCAAATGATGCATTGTGAAGTAACATGGCTTGCAACACAGATTGACTGTAAGATCACCATCATATATGGATTCAATATAATAGAACAAAGGAAGGGACTATGGGAAGATCTGAAAGTACTAGCCCAAGGCATTACAAAACCTTGGCTAGAGATAGGAGACTTTAATGATATACCGTGTCCAACAGATAGAGTTCATGGGAATCCAGTTCATCAAGCTGATATTCAATACTTCATTGATTGTATTCAGGCAGCCAACCTAAGTGAACTGATGTGGAAAGGAGATTACTACATATGGACTAACAAACAAAGAGTGGAATACAAAATTTTAAGCAGAATTGACAGAGCTTTTGGGAACTATGAATGGATGATGAAATAGGGGAATATAGTAATGGAGTATGACCTGCCAAGGATATCAGATCATGCACCAGTGTTGCTTGCCATGGGAGATGATCAAATAAGTATCAAATGTCCATTTAGGTTCTTTAATATTTGGGCAGAACATAATGACTTTGACCATATAGTAGAGGATACTTGGAAGAAGATAAAAGACCCATGGCTCATATGGGGAATATGGAGGAAACTGAAAGCACTCAGATATAGACTGTATACGGTAAAATCGGAGGGCCCAATTTTCCGTCATTATGGTGTCTCGTGAGCATGTTCACAAGGTTCAAGACCAGGGTCGAGGTTCACCCTCGAAGGCTGTCGATGCTCGACCTCAGGGCGGTACGAACCAACGGTTATGATGGGAAAGTGGGGAGTTCCCAAAGTGCATAACTAGGGTTGACAAAGCCTAGTGAGCCAAAATCAGACCTGAATCGTGACTTCGACTAGCTGTCCCATCTCCATATCTTTGTAATTAACACATTTGTACTACGTTGGGAATTTCCCTCCTATATAAAGGGGGTCCCTACTTTATTTATTGCCTACATTCATCGTGTTCTATTTATTGTTCATCATTTATTACTTATTATTGGCCATAAAGAGCCGTCATGATTTCATTCTAGCTGTTAGTCGCCCATCGACTACCCCCGATAACTCCCAGCCGAGCCTCAGACTCGACCTCGAAGCCCCAAATAAGTAATCTCGAGGCCCCGATTGACAGTGATTCGGTTTGGTTAATATCTCGTTTTAGAGCTCTTATCTCGCTTCTAGGTCTTTCACATAGCATCAACTGATTAACAACCGACATAAAAATAGATCACGTATTTTTAGAATCCCATAATCAAATTTAATTGTTATTACCATTTTCACGGTAAACAGTTTGGCGCCCACCGTGGGGCTAAAAATAATAGTGATTATTTTCTTGCTGGTTTAACCACGTAACGCAAGTTATCTTTCACACTTTTTCTTATCCATGATCTTTGATTTCAGGTCAAATATCTAACTCAGTAAACGCACGTGAAAACATCAACCTCGAAGACCATGGAGAAAATGGTGTTGACGTCCCAGGTGTTGGTGTGCCACCACGAAACCCTAAGAACGCACCGGAACCAATTCCCGAATTTATGACCTCATACAACACCCAACGCGGTAATGACCGTCCTCATATTAGCAAGGGAACACGCCAAGAGATTCAGCAGGAAACCCGGAAAGATCCGACACGGGCCGAAAGAGAAATTCCTCAGCATGCCGTTCATATGATCATCGGGGGGACCGACATTCCCCAAGGACCCGCGATCAAACGGATAAAAATTTCCGCTGCAATAGAAGGGCCGATCCGACCCGCGCGACCAAAGACACCCTCGCATTCAGCGAGGAAGATTTCGGGACCCTAACACAGCCACACAACGACGCACTGGTAATTTCATTTCTTTTAAATAACATTCGAATTAAATGTGTGCTCGTAGACCCAGGCAGCTCAGCCAACGTAATCAGGTCAAAGGTAGTAGAACAACTCAGGTTACTTGATCAGATCGTACCCGCCTCCCAAGTCCTCCACGGCTTCAACATGGCCGGTGAAATAACGAAAGGGGAGATCGCCCTCTCGGTTAACATGTCCAGTATAGTTTAGACTTTAGAACACCAAGTTCCACGTCATCGGTGGTGACATGAGGTACAACACATTGCTTGGCAGGCCGTGGATACATAGCATGAGGGCAGTGCCATCAA